TAACAAGCAAGTTATTATGTTAAGTAATAAGGTGCAAATTAAGCAAAACCTTGGAGCTTCGAGGGTGTTGTGTGATAATTACTTAAAGACTTAAAGACTTCACTCTGAAATGTGAACTGCTTATGTTTGTTTAGTGAAGGAGTAATGAGCTCATGTACTCTTCATCTCTTGTATTCTGCTCTCAGCCGCCATGCAGAAATTCAACAAATCCAAGCAGTCTGACGAGGCGAGTCCCGAAAAAGCCACACAGTCTCCAGAAAGTACTGAGTCAGCAAAAGAGACAAGTGCCGAGTCAGCAAAAGGGAATGTCAAAGAGAACGGAGACACAGCAGTGGATTCAAGGCCAACCCCCGCTGGAGAGTCTCACGAGGAGGAACATGACACGACCGCACCTGACGCACAAGTAAACAGTACGTGTTGGAGTTTAGCTACACTTGGGCAACCTCGACCCCAGGCTCTCTCTCAAGGCAAAGAAGAGAGAGCCTGGAATCGAGGTTGATAGTGAGATGAATCTACGCGTGAACACATCTCGAACGTTGCACGATTCGTCATCATGAATGAACAAATTTATTAGTTTCTAAAGAAACTGTTGTGCTGTGTGGACAGGGAAGTGCAACACTTAGCTAAGTTGAAAATGATAAGGGTAAATTAACTGTTTATTTCTCGTTCTTGAAGCGTGATTGGGGGCTAATCGACTTTTGGTTAGGGGCTAGCCGGCTAGGGGCTGTATCACCCATAAATGTAATAAAAACCATAAATGTAATACCAACCATAAATGTAATAAAAATTANAAGTTGAAAATGATAAGGGTAAATTAACTGTTTATTTCTCGTTCTTGAAGCGTGATTGGGGGCTAATCGACTTTTGGTTAGGGGCTAGCCGGCTAGGGGCTAATCAACTTGGGGGCTAAATGACCGATAACCATGAGGGGCTGACGCTCGAAACGTCGGCGTCACAAACTCATTACGTCACAAATTCACCTTTGTCAACTTCAAGTTGAGAAACAACTTAGTGGTTCGTCAGAAGTCATTTAAATTTGGCAAACCATAATGCGAACTTTAGCACCCAAAGAAGAACACAGCTAGTATCGTTTTAGCGGTGAATACATGTAGTCGTTTAGCCTACAAGTTGTTTTGGAGGCGAATTTGCACTTTGAGCTAGAGATTGCATGTGCTAAATGAAAAGTATGATGTTGCTAGGTCTTGCTCTACTTTTATTAAAATATCCTTTTTACCTCTTTTGCCTCCGCAGATGAAAATATGAGTATCACGCCTGGTCAAGCAATGTTCTGTTTCTTTCTTATCACTGTCGCAGTAGCTGTTGGCGTGACATTATTTTGCTGTCACGTCAGTGGCAAAGACCCTGTCTCCACCTTCAACTACATCGTGACGCGACTCAAGTTTTACTATTTTTACTATTTCAGAAGAGCTCCTGGAGGGAACAGATTCTTCTGATACCTTAGACTCCAGTATTCAGTTTTCAGATTTGTCTAGTTTTTAATATTATTGCATGTTATTTTATGGTGTAAATTTAACCGAGAAGCACAGTGGTTTGAAGTGAATGCAGTGCCTTGATAAGTTGTTTTAACTTGTGTAAAGAGATAGAAAAGGCTCCCGATGTGGCGAAAGTCAGCGACATTCCAGTAAAATTGTCGATCTCTCGTGATCTCTGGAATGGAGTATCTTTTTGCTTTGTTTATGGCAGAGTCGGACGTCAAAAGCATTCCTACCCTGTGCGTTCAAGCCTTCAGGGTAAGAGTTTGGGTCTGCGTAAAGGCTATAACTTTGCACGCCAAACGGACCTAGGGAAGGCTTGGTGGCTTTGTAGCAGGCCTGGCCCCTCAGTCATTCCCGAAACCATGTCGAAGCACAAATATGGCGGCCGAGGAGGAGTGGTATTTTGAGGAGGAAGGGTGCCTTCAGTTCAGTGGCCGTCCAATCTCAGTTACATTTTCCCCAGCGTCAAACTGCTTCATCTGTACGCTCGAGGATGGGACGATTGAGGTTGTGGATGCGCGTTCCAGTTTGCGTTTGAAGCGAACATCGACAGCAGGTCTGTTTAATGAGATGAAGCATGTGATTTTGATGTGAAAACGATTTATAAGATTGCCCGTTCCCTTTTTTGCCTCTACTGTTTGAGCAAATTACCTAGGAATTAACTGCTCAAAATGCTGACAAGTCATCTTTGCGCGAGGTTTTAATAATTAACATAATTCTTATTGTTGTACAGTAATATATCTTAAGCCTACCTATGGTTCCACAAAGCGAAATCGATCTTGTTCAATACGTGCAGCCAGCCGTTCAGAATCTTCAGGGTGAACCAGACTTGAACAACTTCGCTGTAATCACTGTCTGTAAGCTACGAAAAGTCGTTGAATTTATGCTAGCATTCTTGAAATTCACTTTTCAATTTAGTCACGTTAAGATTATATAATACCTTACGTCAATATTTTTGCATAGGGTTAGTCCCAACTGCAAAGATTGAGTTGAACTGTGAGAAACATATGTCAGGGTGCAAAGAGAACCAATTTTGAGCTTGCCCAAAAGGCAAGCTGTAGCTATGATGTAACAGCCCGAAAGTCATTCTCACTATCTCCACAAAATTTCATGTCTTGCAGTTTTTCAGTAATTTGAATTTCCTCACAAATTTTCCCAAGAAACTTCACTTGCCCATTGGTCAAGTGAAGGACAGAATCCACTAGGTTGACTGCAAAATCCACTAGTGGTCACTTTTCCTAGGCTATTGGGCATGACTTTTTTTGTAAACTGATAATGTGGAAAAGTGGAGGTATTGCATTGTGACATGGTGAACTGTGGGGGCAACTTGCACTGTTTACAAGGCTCTTTATAATTGGCCAAACAAGACATTAGATAAAGAACACAAACAATGCCCCTAGCTCTAAGAACAAAAGAGGTACAAATAATTATTAACAGGAATGAATCAAAACAGAGGTCTTAAACAGTGCAGGTCAACTGAAACTGTGAACATTCACCACTGATGCTGAGTCATAATTAGCAATTTTAATCCATAATCTGTAAAATGGCAAAATGGCTCACCTGTGTACATGTGCTCACTCTTTTGTCAAAAAATTAGAAAGGGGCCTCAGTAGTGTTGTAGCATTTCATCTGATAAGTGTAATTGCTGTCTGCATGACTTTGCTTGAGATATTGATTTTTGCCACATTTTATATATGAAGGGTTTGTTTTAAATCTCAAAATAATTTTGTCACTACAAAATGCCCTTCATGGACTGCAGAGGAACAGGGGAAATAAGACGTGGATAAATTATGCGCACAGGCTTAGAATATAAGATTATGTTTATGACTTATGGCATGACATGCAACATATTAGGTGAAAAAAAAGTAGAGTTTCTTTGCTAATGATTCCCAAGTATTACTTCACATGATATCTGTAATATATGTAATATAATTAGTGGAGTCCATTTTTTCTGTCTACTTAGAGAACACAGGGCCTCTGCAGTGCAGATTTTGTCCTGAAGTGGAGAAGCTGTTCATTACAAATGGATATGTCTCTGGGTTACGGAAGGATCTCAATGGTGTGTTGCTGCTGGACAGCATCTTACAACCTCCTCTTAAAGGTCCCTGCTTGGATCCAGTTGTGTTGGAGCTAACCCTCTCAGATGTAAGTGTTAAACTCTATAACAATCACAAGGTCCTATTTTCCAGTTGGGGAATCAGAAATGCTGACAACAATGACAGTGATGTTGCTGATGACTGCATTGGCAGCAGCAGTGGTGCTGGTGGTGACAATGAAGACAACAATGACACATCAATCATTTCTTTTGATTATAGTTCTCAACAGAGTTTGGAGCAAAAGAAAGCTTCTGAAAAGTTTAGTTATTAGATGTTTGGCCTGGAAGGGACTCAACAAAGTTTTATACAGGGAGGCTTCACCCGAAGTCCAACGCCTTACCCTTTTGTATACCATTTTGACATGAAAGGTACCTCTTTCATATACCTTTCATTGAAAAAGTTATCCATTTCACATATGTACTTAAGAATATCGTGTCTCTTTTCTAAACCCTTGAAATGAAGTTAGTGATGTAAAGCTTAATAAATTAGATGATACAGCTCTAAGGTGGGTCTGTGCAAAGTATTTTAATTAGAGTCCCTTTCAAATACCTAAATGACAGATTTCCCTACCTTTTCATATACTTCAACTTATGAAATCCCTACCCTTTTATATACCTGAAGCCTGAAAAAGGTACCCCTTTAGGGCAGAGCCTCCCCCTGTAGGCCATTATAGCAAGTACCCCTCTCCCATGGGTGTTTGACTTTATAAGGCTTACATTGTAGTTTTGAAAAGTGTAATTGTGTCAAGAACATGATCAGTGGCAGTAAAATCACAAAAAATTATTAATAGTACATTCCTCAGCTTATTCAGATTAGTTATTTTTACAGCTACATCCTTTTCTTATATATCTAATACTGGTTGAACAAGCTTTTCCAGCTGGAAGAAACATATAGATGCATTTTTAATGAAATAATGGTGAATTGCTCAAGCCATGCACACAAAGCTAAAAAGTAAAGCTACATTGGCAATTAAGGTGGCCTCTGCTAAAAGCCTAGTGGTTTTTGGAGGTCCCAGTTACCCTATCTAATTTGTTGCACTTGTATGTATTTTTTTTTATATTGTGGAAAATAAATGATAATGATAGAGATTGTGTAACTTTTTAGGTATAGCTTCCAAAAAACTGTGGAAACACTCACCTGTGGGCTTGTGTTCCCACAGCATCTCTCATTCTCCCAAACTTCCATGTGTGTTTGTGTAACTTGAGAGGAACATGGTACATGTTTAAGCTGGCTAGGATTTTGCCTGGCTAA